GGTCCGCTTCTTGCTCCGGTTGCTGTTTTCTTGTTCCGACGAATTTGGCGTCTGGCTGCGCTCTGCTCCGAACGTTTTGTCAATACGCTCGAATTAAGCAAGAAAGGGACGAGGGGTTAAGTCAGCCGGTTTGTAGTTTGGATGTCCTCGTTGGCATGGGTCAGCTGCCTCGAATTCTCGCCGCAATGGAAATGTGTAGATTTAATGGAGCGCAGTTCTTTACTGCTCCGCGCCTCACTCTGTTCCAGATTAATCACAACCACTTGTTTCAAGCAGACGAATACAAAAATGGAAAAATGAGAGTGATGGATATTTTACCCTTTTTGTGTTCATTTTCAGAGAAACGCCGGCCTTTCTCCAACCTGTGTTCATTTTCAGTGCTTTCCCGTTACTAATTATTATCTGTATGTTTTTGGCTGCAGGATCCTGTCTAGGACCGTGTGCAAAACTATCAAATGTTTGTAGAGGCTTTGAAGAAACCAACAGCAAGTAGCTTGATCAGAAACCGTTCCCACCTCAGGTACTGCACCCAGCTCTCTTCCAACCATTCTTGCTACCAGTATCATGATTTATTCTTGTACCTTGTAGTAGTAGTCCCTTAAATCATATTTTCAGAGTCTGTAACACTGAATCAAACGAGTGCCATCAACGTTTGTTCACCTCATTTCTTGTGCAAAAGGCTATGGTGTGAATACGATTGGCTAATTCATGTTGGAAGTCATGAAAACGATGTTTGATTGGTTCCTTTTCCGTGAACAAAAGGGGAGGGGGGCTATCATGCTTTACACTTTTCCCAGAAAGTTACCGGGCAACACGGCTTCAGTATCAAGATCAAATAGCTGCGTTACTTTGCACATACAAATGTGGATTCTCCGAAAATACGCGTAGCTCGTAACCGTTATCAATCCCTATAGTTGTTGTAACAAGACATTTTGTCACCTATGCTAGAACAGTTGTTAGTGGAATTTTCCACCTTGCTAGTACAGTTGTTAGTGGAATTTTCCACCTACAGCTGTTATAATATGGAGACTGCCCACCAGCATTTCAATATCTAATTTTGCTCTATTGCATATGAAACTACTATTTCCTATACCAACTGAGATTCTAATTGTCTTGCGAACATTTCAGAGGACGTTAATGACTGGATGGTTTTCGAAGATTGCCAACTGGAAGAGCTCACCTTTCATACACATGAATGCACGGAGCAAACGTCAAGGCTCTTCATTATGCTTCACTATGCTGTGGATGCTTCTGTTCCCCAACCTCTGGATAATATGCAGCGGCAGTATTCAGAAACACATTCTCCTGCCAGGGTTCAGTGGCTCAGAAATGGATTACATTGATAACAATGGAATATTTCTGCTCTCGAATGGATCGGTGTTTGGCTTTGGTTTTGCCAGCAGCAGTGCGTCAGAGAGCACATCCTACCTTCTTCAAGTGGTCCACCTGGGCACCACTACCGTCATCTGGACTGCGAATGCTAACTCTCCAGTTTCGCATTCGGATAGCTTTGAGTTTGACAAGGATGGCAAGGCCTACCTGCAGTCTGCAGGCTCCAGTGTCTGGACTGCCAATATCTCTGGCAAAGCCACCTCTATGCAGCTGCTGGACTCCGGCAATCTTGTAGTGCTCGGCGAAGATAGCTCTTCTCCTCTGTGGCAGAGTTTCAGCTATCCAACAAACACACTTCTGTCTGGCCAGAGCTTCAGTGATGGTATGACACTTGTGAGCCATTCCACCGAACAGAACACGACACATACACTTCAAATCAAATCTGGGGACATGATGTTGTACGCAGGGTTCCAACCATACTGGTCCGCACTGCAGGATAGTAGGCTGATCGTTAACAAGGATGGTGCAATATACTCTGCGAACCTCAGTTCAACTTCTTGGTCCTTCTATGATAAATCAGGTTCTCTTCTATCACAGCTCATCATAGCGCAGAAGGGTGATGCCAACACCACGTTAGCTGCTGTCCTCGGTGAGGATGGGTCAATTGCCTTCTATATGCTGCAGAGTGCAAATGGCAAGACTAATCTGCCAATCCCAATCCCACAGGACTCGTGTGACACGCCAACCCACTGCCAACCGTACTCTATTTGCAATAGTGGGACAGGATGCCAATGCCCTTCAGGCCGCGGCTCCTATCCAAACTGTGACCCTGGTCTCGTATCACCTTGTAAGTCAAAAGAGGTGTTTCAGCTGGCTCAACTGGACAGTGGAGTTGGATATATCGGTACTAGCTTCACCTCACCTGTGCCTAAGACAAACATCACAGGTTGCAAGAATACTTGCATGGGAAATTGCTCATGCATCGCCGTGTTCTTCGACCAAAAAACAGGCAATTGCTTCATTTTTGACCAGATTGGTAGCTTGCAGCAGAAAGGTGCAAGTAAAACTAATTTTTCATCTTTCATCAAGGTATCTAGAAGTGGCTCAGGGCAAGCTGGGAGTGGCAATGACAATGGAAATCACAACATTATTATTGTTGTCATTATAGTCGTAACTTTGGTTGTCATTGGTGGCCTCATTTATGTCGGTTTCTTCATTTATAGGAGGAAGAGGTATCCTCCGTCCTCACAAGATGAGGCTGGTTCATCGGAAGATGATGGATATCTGCAGACGATATCTGGAGCACCAGTGCGGTTCACTTACAGGGAGCTCCAGGATGCAACAAACAACTTCTCTAACAAGCTTGGCCAAGGAGGATTTGGATCTGTATATCTGGGAACACTCCCAGATGGCAGTCGCATTGCTGTAAAGAAGCTGGAGGGCATAGGCCAAGGGAGGAAAGAGTTCCGCTCCGAGGTGACGATAATTGGCAGCATCCACCACATCCATCTAGTTAAACTCCGAGGCTTCTGTGCTGAGGATTCACACAGGCTTCTTGCATATGAATACATGGCGAAAGGGTCACTGGAAAGGTGGATTTTCCGTACTAAGGAGGATGATCCCCTTCTGGACTGGGATACAAGGTTTAACATTGCACTTGGAGCAGCAAAGGGATTGGCATACCTCCATCAGGACTGTGAATCGAAGATCATTCATTGCGACATCAAGCCTGAGAATTTCCTGCTTGATGACAACTTCCTTGTGAAGGTATCTGACTTTGGCCTTGCCAAGTTGATGAGCAGGGAGCAGAGCCATGTTTTCACGACGATGAGAGGCACGCGGGGCTATCTCGCGCCCGAGTGGATCACCAACTACGCCATCTCAGAGAAGAGCGACGTATACAGCTATGGCATGGTTCTGCTCGAGATAATCAGCGGGAGGAAAAATTTTGATCCCGTGGAAGGCTCAGAAAAGGCCCATTTCCCGTCCTTTGCTTTCAAGAAGCTGGAGGAGGGCGATCTTCGCGAGATCCTTGACTCCAAGCTGAGGTATAACGACAAGGATGAGCGACTGGAGATCGCGATCAAGGTTGCTCTGTGGTGCATCCAGGAGGATTTCTACCAGAGGCCGTCCATGTCGAAGGTGGTCCAGATGCTCGAGTGCGTCTGCGACGTGCCCCAGCCACCGATGTCCTCACAGATCGGATATAGGCTCTATGCGAATGCCCTCAAATCGAGCAGCGAGGAGGGCATGTCGTCGGGGATGTCGGACTACAACAGTGAGGCTCTGCTTTCAGCAGTGCGGCTCTCTGGTCCTAGATGACAGTATGAATGATGTGTATAGTGTGTTTAGTTAGGATGTTGGTGTTCAATTTTGGGGTAGGGCCTGTTGATTTGGTGATCATTTGTTCACATTGATGTCATGTATATATGTTGATCATTATTTCAGGTGGCACTTTTTTATAATAGTTTTACCAGATGAGGTTTGTTGTGGAAATTAATATATCTTTTTTGCCAGATTTAGTTTTTAAGCTATAATTATTTTTCTGTTTTGAGAATACAGAACTATCAGCTTAGGACTCCCTGTGTACTGAGATGTCTCTCTAAATGGTCTTGGTAAACTTGTGGCATATTCAGATCTTCTTGGTTTTCGTGTGTGATCTACTTATATCAAAAGTTTGACAAATAATGCTACTCCCTCTGTTCACTTATGTAAGGCGTTTTAGGCAGTTCAGACAGCACCCAAAATAGTTCAACATCAGCTGTCTAAAACGTCCTACAAAAAAGAACGGAGTAGTGTATATCCACTCTTTCATCAGAGAAAAATCAAAAGAAACTGTCTTCCAAAGTAAAAAGATAGATTTTCGCTGAATGATGAGATCCATTACATACATCTGATCAACGGAAACTAGTTTTCACCTGAATCAGCAAAACTGCAGAACTACTGAAGGGGAAGAGAATGCTTGGTTTTCTTCCAGTTCCAGGTGCACACCATCTACATGCCGATGCAGGAAAACTCCAAGGCATCAACGCCATGGTGTGTATCGACAGGAATTTTATGTCGCCTTTCTTACCAATCTTCTACAATAACCGATGGCTGTTCGCAGCGAGAAAGAAATATGCAACAAACTTCTTTCAGGGCCATGCCGATGAGGAGCTGTGCTGCTTGCTGCGCCTGAAACACAGCAGGAACAGCAGTATGCAGACCAAAGCACCTGCCTGGATGGTCTCAAACTGACCATGGGTGACCATGATATAGCAGAAAATGATATGAACTAAACATTTGCCATCCTGCGCCGTTACCATCAGGTGAACAGGAAATCAGTCGCATGTGATTATGTTACACAATTTCGCTGTTACTCATGTACTACAACTAGTTTCACTTTGCAAAATATTGCATGTAAAACTAAACTCTTTCATTTAGTTTGTCAATTGTACACTGAAGTTTGTCTTGAACAAGCCAAAACAATCGATTTAGTCTGTCCTTCCGAGAGATTCAGAGATACTATCCGCGCATCGGTATGCGGGCGGATCACAAAAGGATGAACATGATCACAAAAGCACCAATAAGGCAATGGGCTCTGAGGGGATATCACAAGACAGCAGTCCATGCACGCATTCCGTGTCCGGTCATTTTCATCGTAGTGCTGATCTTTAGCTCGCGACGGGTTATCGGAGAAGGAAGCTATCCAACGGCTTCTCAAACGCGAGGAGAAGGCTCAGGAGCAGAAAGGGCATAAGGAATATGAACATCCAGATTGTGTTGTGGCTGTACACAGTGCTTGGGAAAGAGGGGAGGGGTCTGAACTTCCCTAGCTCCTCTAGCAGGTCTCCGTGATCCCGGAAAAGAAGTAAAAGCTGCAGTTCGAGCAGGATGGATCAGACTAGTTGGATTTATCATGAACCAACAGGCTAAAAATTACTCTTGGATGAGGGTAAGGGGTGGGTCGCGATTGTGGTGGTACCTCGTTGTAAGCTTCCAGAGGGATCTGATCACTCCGGGTGAGCACATTGAGCAGTGACAGGTATAACAAGTAGTCATGGGCCTGTATAGAAGACATGATGCAATGTAAGTTGAAGGCCTGACTTAAATAAATTGAAGTTTTTTTTACAAAGAGTTTTTATTTCGTAAGGAAAGATGTTAGAGAAGCCCATATATAGTATATCAAATAGGAACCCACATTCGAGTTTGTGAGGACTTGAATCGATGTGGTGGGGTCATGCATCAACTCACCCAACCAAGTGATTTAGGCTCACTTTGACCCCCTAACGTCGTTTATTTCAGATGTCATATTCCACACACCCAAAGAAACATCAAGAAATCCTAGTAGTAAGAACATACCAATTGACTCCGGCTTAACTCAGCCAAATACAAGAGTGCAAGAAAATATGATAGAGGCTTTTTTCTTTCACGGTGAAGTGTTTAGAAGTTATGTGACCGTAAGAAATGATTGCTACACTAAGCGACCTGATGGATAACATGCATTACTAAGAATTGTTCATGCACAGTTAAACATGGCATAGACATTTAGCTTCACTAACATTCCTTTATCTGAACCCGTTCCCATGTCCAAGTTTCTTCGAAGCAATCATGTTTTTTTATGAATTCATATACACTCTCCTTATAAAGAAATTGTTTGTTAAATTTTAAAAAACTTGAGTTTTGTGGTCATACATGCACAAAAACCAATGTTTTTTTTGGCTAGTCACACTTATTATGGTTCACAAACATGAGGGAGTAGTGCGAATTGGAAAATACTTTAGGAACGGAAATGCTTCACAAACTAGTTATAGCTAAAAGTTATATGTACCAGTACCACAGATCTATATCTATATCTATATCTATACCTACTATTAAAGGGAATAGGTATTCTTGGTTTGGTTTCGCTTTGTGTCGTCCCGTTTAGGTGATTTTTTTGGGTTTCGTGTACGTTCGTTATCCTGCCTCCTTACTTGCCCAGTTTAAACCAATTGGAAACCGACTCAACCAACGAGGCAAGCAATGAGGCAACGATCCGGAAGTCCATCTAGCGGTAGCAGGCCAGCCTTTTTTTTTCTGGGCTAGCAGTAGCAGCCTAGCCTGGCCTTTTTTTCTAACGAGCTAGCAGTAGCAGCCCTGTCGATGGATTGAAGGCAGCCAGGCCAGCACACATACATACGTAATCAGTTTTAGCTAAATCCATTGCCTAAAAAGAACTAAATAGTTCCGCCATGCTTTCTTACATTAAATCGTGTCAGTTTATATACATCATTAACTTGCTAGGTAGGAGTAACCAGCAAGCTGATTTGAGAATCATTAACCAGATGATTAAGGCATGGACGTAGAAAGCAATCAAATCTATGGGCACCGGTTGTGGCCAAATTTATCTGTATTCATGATATGCGTGCATATGATGCACAAGAAGAAATTAACTCTACATTCAGTCCGGTGGTGGACTAATTAAACTGGATTCACGACATGCATGCATATGATGCACAAGAAGGAATTAACTCTGAATGCCCCGGTACTGGTCTAATTAGGGGCTATGGGATTTATGAGATGCATAATTAAAATATTAAAAGAAAGAATTGCATGTCATGATCAATTGGACATTGTGAGAGGGAGTTAAATCTGAATTCCAAGGAAAGACGAGAGATGAAATCTCCTAGATTTTAATGGAAGGAAAAATAGTGCATAGAGAGATTAAATACGGATTGGGCTAAGGGCACTTTTGAACACATTATATGTACTTATTTAGATTTAGATACTCCCTCCTTTTTCCCTTTAAAGCGAGTAGTAGCTTCTTTAACGAACACCGTTCAAAAGCTGTTTCTCACCAAATTTAATTACACGTTAATTTTTTTTCTTTCGTTGCAACGCACGGGCATTTGTGCTAGTATCCCCTATTTATTTTAACTTAACAAAACGAAGATCTACCTAAGCATTTCATTCTGCAGCTTAAATCAGAAATATTTCAAACCACAACTGCCAGTGACTCAGTGGAATACGACTTGTTCTCATCAGATTCCCATCATATGGATAGATCAACTCAAACTTACAACAATGCAGAAAGTTGAAACCCAAGACACACATAATATATTTGTATGAAAGGTATCAAGTCTGATGTTGTCAGACAGATACAGTATAATGAAACTATATTGCAGTCATAAAACAAGTGAGGAATACATCATACATGAAGTAAAATATTTCATTATTTTGTTTGATTAAATCATTTTTTTCTCAATGAAAAATTAGCTCCAACGCAGGTGATCCAAAGAGAGAAATACATATTTGTATTGTGCTTCGCTGGCAAGCATGGACTCAATCTGTGTACATCAATGATTGCTGACAACCTTTTCTTTCGAGAAAAGGGAACCATGAACAGTTTCAATTAATTGCTGACAACTTGCAAGGCACACAGGACACCAAATCATTGAGAAGGAGGACCCAAGAAAGTTTCTTGGTATGCACTCTAGACAATGAAAAATAATCTAGAGTCCAGGCGAGAACTGTGTATCACTCCATTTTTTTTTGCCAATTATTTGGAACACGTCTATCACACCGTTATTTTTTCCCCAATATTTAGAACATGAAGCATGTGCTTTTGCACCCCTATTACGGATATATCGCCGTTGTGACAGAAATGCAATATCCAAGTAAGCAGCTAACACTGAAGATAGAGCGTTGGTTTGAGCCCAAGTCTACCTTACAAGAATTTGGTTACAAGAATTTTCTTGCTCTGGATTCGGCCAATTTAAGCAAAACGAATTGTACCATGGTAGCGAAAGGGGCATGTGCATTCCAAGAAACTGGAAACCATACAAACATTGGCCAAACATTTCACCAGGACTGATAATTAGCAGAGTATATTTCGGCCATGAACCAAACATACTCATAGCGCCCTGTCTATGAACACTGAAAAGATTCGCAAGTCACACTGCATGTCTTTTTATACTATTATCATTTTGCGAGGAAGCATTGTTCAAAGTTTCATTAATAAAATTTCTCACCTTAACTCTCTTAACAAAGCTAAGAGATTCCTCAAATGTGACAGGTTCCCACTTAGACATAGAGCCCCGACAGCTCAGGACCAGACCCTGGATTGCCTTTAAAGGCACAAAATTTCACAGATTCCTGCAGGTAATGATTAGATAATGTTAAAGTTTATATTCCACTAAAGAAGAGAGAAAGCAAAATGCACACACCCAACTTGCAGCTTCACAAAAAAGATGACCCTAAATAGTTCCTTTAAAGAAATATAACGAAATAATTGTACAATTTCTACTAAAAATAGTGCCTTTTACATCATCAGAAACTCAGAGCCAAGAGAATACAGTTTCTCAGACAATTACTCGAGAGCAGAACCAAAATGCTATAGCGAATTAGCAATTAAACAATTTATAACATCAAGGCATCAAAATTCACAAGATTTGATTTTAAGAAAAGAGAACGGGAGCATTCGAGCTCACAAAAGGTAAGCATCATAACTTTGTCAACACCAAAAATATTTTAATTATCCTGCAGTGATCATTTTTGCAGGTAGAAGAGATGATATTCTGCTGGCAGCTATAAGAATAAAATAGTTTATTCTGACCAGCTCCATGGTCAAAATTCACAAGGCACAAATATCATCCACAAACAACAGGTACAGATTAGGGGCAGTCGCCACTCGCTAGGATGAGTAATTAATCAACAGATCAAGAAGCAAACCTATAAAGAGGATATAAACTGCAGTTATCAGAATCAGACGAACGCGTTCTTTTAGGAGCGGTGATCAAGAACGAGAGCCAGACCACCAAAATCCATCTCTAGGCAACGAAGTGAGGGTTCTCCCAAAAAGGAAGTGTTCTTTCTCACCTGGAAGAGACAAGAAATGGATGAGACTGGGAGCCACGGCGAACAGCTTTTCCCCCGAATGAGCGAGCCCTTTTGGAATCCGTCGGGCAGACCGCGAGAAGAGAAAGATTAGGTTGGAGATGGCAACAGGGGGAGAAGAGGGGAGACTAGAGGAAGGAGGCTGCGCAACAGCAACTGGGCAGGGTGGCAGCTGGGGGTTGGACTCGAGCGAAGTGGGGGGGCGAAAGCAGAGACCGAGAGGACGAAGGACCAAACCAGGCTGGGAGTGCCAGGGACTAGGGAGAGAAAATATGCGGTGAAAACAAGCTGTAGTGGAAAATAGGTGAAACCAAACGAAAACATTCTCTTCTCCTCTCTCTCTCTCCTCCTTCCTTCTACTAAAAATATGTTTTATCTTTCGCTTCTTTTTCTTTCTTTTTTTTTCAGAAAATTTTCTAATCTATTCCTCATCTGTGAAGATAGAACAACAAACATGTCAGCGTCCCAACTGCAGAAGCAGCGAAGATCGACCGGAACACAGCCAAGGCAACGAAGGAATCAGCAAAGTCGGTAGCAAGAGGGAACACGCTGGCAGCAGAACCAATCACGGCAACCAATCAGGAGCAAAGTTGCGTCATCGCCATGCCACATCGGATCAAGCACCCCAACCGTCTGTACGTGGGGCCGGAGTGGAAGAACCATACATAAGGCACATCGTTCGGCGGGAGCATCATCCGAGCTTGGATCAGAAATCGGCACAACGGCTTTTCTTTTCTGTTTCCTCCCTGTAGCGAGTTGTATCTGAGTGATGAGACCGATTCAACCCTCCTGCCTGTAATTGAAACCTAGATCGAACTATTACCTAACATCCTGGTATCAGCTAGCCACCCACCACCCTTCGCCGCCGCCATCGCCGCCCTGGAAACTCGTCGCCAGAAGCAAGCGTGCGACCATCTCATCGCCGCCATGGATCCCGCACTGAAGGCCTACCTCGACAAGATGAACGACGAGGCTGCCGCCCGCGCCGACAAGATGCGCGAAGAGGCCGCCGCTCACGCCAAGAAACAAGACGGCGACACCACCGCGATTCCGCAAGCTTTGGCGACACAAAAAGCATGCATCGACTCCCTTGTCACCTGGAAGCCGGAGCTGGAGGCGCGATCCGCGCAGCTTGAACTCTTGGTCGCGGCTCTTCAAGCTGTGTCGTCCTCTACGCCGCTAGCGACCCCTCCTGCGGTCGCACGCGAGATCCAAGGGCAACCATGCCGCGGCGCGTCACTGCACACCGGGGATCCTTCGTCGGTGATCCCCGAGTCACCGGCGACGCCCCCGGTCACGGGTATGACCATAATCCCGTCCCAACAGTCACTTCCCCTATCTTCGCAAATGCTACCAGCCATGGGTCAAGCTCCACCACCGATGACATTTCCTGTCTTCGCGGGCGAAAATCCCCAACTCTGGAAAACTTTGGCAGAGCAGTATTTTCAGATGTTCACGGTCAACGAATCGTACTGGGTTCTGATGGCAATTTTGAATTTCTCCGGTCCTACCGCAATTTGGTTGCAGTCAGTTCAGCGCAAGATCGCGGGTCTTACCTGGGAATCGTTCATAGCCCTGTTATGCACACAATTCGGGCGTGATAAGCACCAATTACTCATTAGGCAATTCTATGCTATCCGTCAGTCTGATTCAGTCGCCGATTTCATTGAGCGTTTTGAGACTTTGATGAATCATATGATCTCTTACTCTGAACTGACGCACCCTTATTTTTTCTTGACACGATTCATTGAGGGACTGCGGGCGGACATACGGGCGGTGGTGCTCATTCAACGACCGCCGGACCTCGACACGGCGTGTTCATTGGCTCTGCTTCAGGAAGAAGTTGCGGATGGCGAGCTCTCCATGCGCTCCGCACCCAGTCGTCCATCCTCGTCGCGCTGGGTGACAACCAGCACACCAAGTCTTCCAGTGAGCAACCTAAGGCCATCGGCACCTACTGCTAGTGCTGAAGATCGCCGAGGTACTGATGCAGCAAGAGCAAGTTCAGCATCAGATAGCAGCAAAATTTCAGCACTACGCACATTCAGACGCACTTGAGGACTTTGCTTTAAGTGTGGCGAAAGGTGGGGCAAGGAGCACACATGCCCACCTACAGTACAGATGCATGTTGTGGAGGAATTGCTGGCGCTGTTTGCAGGAGAAGAAGCAAGTGGCGAGCACCAGCAAGAGCCACACGAGCCTGACGAGGACAATCTGTGTACCATTTCCAAGCAAGTAATTGAGGGAGCTTCAGGTCCGGGCATGATGCAGCTTCATGCTTGGATCCAAGGCAGAGAGATGTCCTTACTAGTGGACTCTGGCAGTTCATCTTCGTTTGTCGATCATCGAATGGCTTCTAAACTGACGGGGGTCTGCAAATTGCCTATAGTTTGCAAGGTCAAGGTAGCCGACGGCGCAGTATTGCGTTGTGACAGTTTCATTCCACAATGTCCCTGGACATCGCATGGTCATGAGTTTGTTACAGATTTCAAACTCATATCATTGGGGGTGTATGACGCCATCCTCGGCATGGACTAGCTCAAGAAACATAGTCCTATGCACATCGATTGGGAGGCGCAATGGATGACAATTACCACAGATCAAGGTTCAGTGGACTTGAAGGCAGTCACCAGCGATCAGATCTACTATTCTGCAATTTCTTCTCGGGAACTTGTGGCTGCCTATAAACAGGGGTCAGTAGCTTATGTCGTCCATTTGAATGCTGCGAACGACATGGGGGTCAAAGAAGAATCAATGCCCGTGGAAATTCTTCGGGTTTTGGAGCAGTACACAGATATGTTTGAGGAACCCAAAGGCCTTCCACCGCGACGTGCTTGCGATCACAGGATTCCGCTCATGGAAGGGGCTCAGCCTGTCAACCTGCGACCATATCGGCACAAACCAGAACTCAAGAATGAAATTGAATGTCAGATTAAAGAGCTACTAGACGCGGGAATCATTCGGAGGAGTACCAGTCCATTCTCCTCCCCAGCTCTACTGGTGAAGAAGAAGGACGGTACCTGGAGGTTATGCGTGGATTATAGATGTCTGAATGCAATGACAATTGTCATCAAGTACCCCGTTCCGATAATTGATGAACTGCTAGACGAATTGGTCAGGGCCAAGTGGTTCTCTAAACTGGATCTGCGTGTGGGATACCATCAGATCAGAATGGCAGAGGGCGAGGAGTACAAGACGTCATTCACTACGCACTCCGGTCATTGGGAATTCTTGGTTATGTCTTTTGGACCGGCGGAGGCTCCCTCAACCTTCATTGGTGCCGTCACTTGCACTCTGCAACCGCTACTACGAGACTGCGTCATTCTGTTCTTTGACAATATATTGGTTTTCAGTAAAACTCTAGAGCAACATGTAGAGCACCTCCGGTGAGTATTACAATTGCTTCGACGAGACCACTGGCAAGTCAAGCAATCAAAATGTGCATTCGGTCAGAAACAGATTGCTTATTTGGGTCACGTTATCGATGAGAACGGTGTCTCCATAGACCCAAGCAAGATCGAGACCATCAAGAACTGGCCTATACCTCGTAACAGCCGTGAAGTACGCAGTTTCCTTGGGTTGGCTGGCTACTAGAGGAAATTTGTCAAGCATTTTGGCATTATTGCCAGGCCTCTTTTCAATCCGCTGAAGAAGAACCACCCGTTTGTCTGGACTTAGGACACTACTACTGCATTTGAACTACTCAAGCAGAGTTTGATATCAACACCAGTCTTTCACCTTCCAGATTTCACCAAGCAATTCGTTATTGATACAGATGCCTGTGATTTATGAGTGGGGGCAGTGTTACAACAGGGAGGGCACCCAATCGCATATATGAGCAAACCTCTGGCTCCCAAACATAGGGGGCTTTCCACCTATGAGAAGGAATGCCTTGCCATACTTATGGTTGTGGAACAATGGCGACCATATTTACATCATGATGAATTCTTGATCAGGACGGATCAACGCAGCTTAGTGCACTTGGATGATCAGCGGCTGTCGATGGTTTGGCAACAGAAAGCATTTACTAAACTCTTGGGGTTGCGGTACAAAATCTGTTACAGACAGGGCACCACCAACAACGCTGCCGATGTACTATCTCGCTGCAACCATGCACAGAATCAAGCAATGGCGATCTCCGTCTGTCAACCCTCTTGGATCGAGGATATCAGGGCCAGCTACATGGACAACACAC